GCCCGCCACAAGGAGCAATCCAATTTCACTTGCTGCACTGGAGTCGTGGTGAAGGATGCCCTTGGATTCAGTTTAATTCCCAGGTTTTTCTAGACTCAACTCTTGATGCCCTACAAGTGAACGAAATGCGGGAATTGGCTTTAGTGCACGACAGGAGAGCAAGTGACAGATATACAAGTATGTAACATAATAAAATATAACGCAATAAATGCATTGGCACACATGACACAATTATAAATGTAACACAAATGGGTGAATATATAAAAGAGTGGGAGCATTAAAACCTGGTTCAGGCAAATGTTACTACTCACCCATAAAGGGGCAAAAGCAGGCAGGCAATCAGCAAGCAGCAGGATCAGGCAAGGCACGTCGCAGCATCAAATGTCTGGTAAACTTGCATCAATTCCATCAACCACGGCACAGGGATAAGCTTAAGGCTGGCACAAATACATGCTCTGACTCAAAAGATCTATCTGAGAGTGATTCACATTCATGAGTCTGGAAAGAGAGAACACAGGCGAGTGGAAAGAATGCATGGCGCAGCAAGCTGAATAATGATACACAAGCCACACCACTACAATACAATGTAAAAAAAAATTAATTTTAAAATAAATCAATGCGCAAACTAATTTATTGTAATGAATATAGATATATTATCTCAGGACACATATCACTACATCATACAAGATATGTGCGGTATACAACTTTCTAAAGCTAAGAAGGCTCTTTCACGCGTGTTGGGACACGTTTCAGGGCTTACTTTTGATCGAAAGCTCCATAGAAAAAAGCCGCAGCAGGGGCCTGTTCAGCGCCGCAAGAAGTCTTCTTGCGGTGCGAAACCGCTCTAAGACTTCTTGCCGCGCTCGGCTACCTGGAGTCCTTTGGCGTGAAGACGAGCAATGCAAACCGAGTCAGCGTCATGCCAGGTCAAGAAGACGAACATCTAGTGAGAACGAGCGACAGATGTGTAGGATCTCATCAACCTTGTCATTCAGCAAACGGATTTTGAGGCAAACGAACGATAACCGGGGACACAACTGCCAAAGTGGAGATCAACAAACACGCTAAGCAGGTTTGAGGCCTACGGGTCGACACAGGCCGACGATGCTCAGCAGCAGCATCCGCAGACGTGCAGTTCAGCGCAAATGATTGTCGCCGTAGCAACGGCCTATTGCCGTTGATGACAAACACGCTGTTGTCGCGCACTGCTGGATAGGTGGCAGCAGGACGCCTATTTTGACCAGCACGGCATCCACAATAAGACATGCGAGGCGTGGTAAATACGATTAGTAAATTTACTCTCACAGACGGATGGATCATGGGCTGCAGCAGTTGAACGCAGGCCGATCAGTTGCTTCGCCAATTAAGCGAGCGGCGCAATGAATAGCAGCCAGATTCAGAATGGGTCATAAAACAGTGAGTCAGTGACTCACTTCTACAGTAAGCTCCAAGCTCAGTATAGCGAACGCCAAAACGAATATTCACGAAATATTTTGGGTGCGTACATCCAAACAGAGACTGGGTCAGTCCTACCAAGCAGTCGCTGATTAGCATGTGACTCGAACTCTATTTTTTAAATCATGAATAACAATTCATATGCTTCATGAGTAAGACATGAAAGGGTTATTGTATGCGTATTAAAATTGAATAGGCGTTTCAGTACTAAATGACCTCTTTCATTCCCCCAGATACCGTGTCCCCACCCCTCCTCCTCCCTCGCTACTCACGCCTGCCCCGTCACCCGCCAAAGGTGAGTCGCGTTTCAACTCTGTTGAGTAAACGAAGCAAAAGGCATCATATTCAGGGCCAGCACTATATTCACCATACCGATACAATCGTGTGTTGGGTTCATCGCGATACTAACTATGCCAAAACGCTCGCGTGTTGGATTCGTTCCGAAACGATACAGATGATGTCCATATATAACCTAAAATAATGAACAGATGAAATATTTTACAGATGAAGTTATAGTGAATACGTGCTGCATACACAAATTGAAACAGTGCACAGGCGTTGCACTCGCACAATTTGAAATAGTGTGCAGGTGTTGCACACTTACAGCTTGAAATAGTGAACAGGTGTTGCACACATACAACTTGAAACAGCGGAAAGGTGTTGTACACATGGAATATAGGGCAACAATGCAGCATCTGACAGCGCCTAGTAGTCGAAATTACCTAGTAGTCCAATAATCATTTCATAATTATTTCTCCGCTTGAGCGCTAATGTACTTGTAAGTTAAGGCTTGAGCACTAATGGTACTTCTTCCTCTCGTGAGTTGAAACGTCCACCTTTCGGGCAACTTTTCTGCGCTTCAACGAAACCAACTTCAACCACCATGCACTTAGGGAAGTTCCGTTCCTCAGATTTTGTTCACTATAGATTTCTTCATATTCAGTAACTGCAATAATAACCACTTTTGTGCATAAATGGTGTCAATATTGCGGGTTGCCTGTCGGAGACCAACACGCCAAACGCCGCGTAGACTCAAATCATCTCATTCTCCAATAGCGTTATTAATTTTTCTGGATTATCACTTCATCGGCTGCAAGCAGCAAAAGCAAAAACGTATCTTTCGAATTCGACCTGACATCCGCCAGCAACAGAGCCTGGAATGGTATGGCCCAATAACGTCCGCTAATTCATGTAATACTCGTAATTTTACACCAACTAGACAAGGCGCTTAGGAGCTTTCCAGCACCAATCAGTCACACCAATTATAGCTGCCAGTAGTCTTCCTCTGCATCGAATCAGTCCATGAACGGCCACTAGTCGAAGGAAGATCGATTTTGGAAAATTACTGTATTAGATAAAACCTAACATCAGATGTTATGAGCTAAAAGTTACGAAATTAAACGCAGTCACGGAAGTCGTCTTCGATCCACGGTCTGGTGGTGCAAAGTAGGTTTCATGCACCTCATAATTGAGGAAAATTAAGCTGATTGGTCGCATTACTTCGTTCGCTGGTTACTGTTGGAGTGCTGGCAAGGTTTTGCACTTATGCTTCGATGAAACGTTCGCTAGTGGACAGTTATTGCACTCTATATGCCATTCGATCCCGTGTTCGTGGGTGGAAAGTTCATAATATATCAAACAAAAATATATTACGGGCAGGTAGATACACAGCGTTTTATTCAGGGCTCAATCGTGTCCGGAAATTGGTGCCGACTCTTTCCAGCATCTCGACAGGAATGTTGGCGACGGCTTCACGAATGTTATTCATGAGATGGTTTAGGTTGTTGGGTTGGGGATGGAACTCCAATTCCGCATGTAGGAACCGTCTAACAGAACGAGCTGATGTGTGCTTTCAAGCAGATCGTCGGGAAGACCTCAAGATGGAGTGCCGCATCGCTTTGATGTTTTGCGGAGGTCTTGCAGTCCATTGGTCACCAGCCTTCTTCTTCACATCGCAAGATTCCCTGAAGCTCTCACCCACGAAATGATTGACTGTTGTCCTGGAACACGGCCATTATAGGTGCAACATGGAAGTGCCGACGGAATGCACGTGGTGTAGCGATGATTGCTTTACCACAGGCAAAATATGCTTCAACCGCAAACGCACGATCCACGATCGCCCATTCCATGATAACAGCAAAAAAATTAATATAGCTCATCATATAAACAAAACTTCACAGTTTGCGCTATTGATTAAGCCCCTTCTTAAAGTTATCGTAGACAAACGCACTTCAGAAAGGCTAATTCAAATAAGCAAGTTCCTCTTCCCCACTCAATAAATAATACAATTGTTCACTAGGGTGAAAAAAGTTGTTGAAGTAAATGAAATAGCATGCAATACTACTTTTTAGAATTTTTTACTTTATTCCTATACAAGTTGGAGTAAAGAGGGAGAATTCAGGTACCCACTCTCTTTGTGGCGAATGACAATGTACAGAATACAGTTTGGTTGATAAAATTCTATTCAGTTGCTAATATAAGGGGTTCATTAAAGACGAGTCATTATGCCTCAAAGGGCACAGGGTGTATATAGGGCGTGAAAAAAACAGGAGTGTTAAATGATTACAGAAAGGCAGACACTATAAACATTGAAGAGCTGTATTCTCTCCACCAGACATTCGCGTTGAGGTAGCAATATTGAGGCAAAGATTAAATTAACTGAAATTTGACTTTCTGGCTGCTGTTTGGTGAACTAACGTAGAGACAAAAATTATCTTCAAGTAATACCAGGCATTGGTGTGGTGAAATTGGTAAATTTGAGAACATTGGCCAGTTGCTGCTTCTTGGTTATTATATCTCTCTATCCATTTCGCTATTTTTTGCAGCTGTTACCGAACGTTCGAGTGTAAGACAGATTTCGGTAACATGTACCGATTCGCGGTAACCTTTACCAATACGGTAACATTTACCAATACGGTAACATTTATCAATTCGGTAACCTTTACCAATTCGGTAACATTTACCAAAAATGTAAAATATTAAAGTTAAAATTATTTATATTTCGCGAAATTTTTCTAATGAAAAGTTATTATTAGCAAAATTATAATTTTGCCGCTATTTTCACAGCCGTCGTCTTTTCCTTTAGTTACTATTCACAAGAATTTATCTAATAATAATCTTCCGCCAAGAAAATAGTATTTGCTATAGTAATTGTTTAACTGCAAATTCATATTATAGTATTCATCGTGTTAAAGACTCGTAACAACAGGATAGAAGCTGTTGCTTTTGGGCGTCAGCAACATCCGCAAGAGGGTGATGTTCAACACATTGCAAGGCCAGGTGATAAAGTTTCCTCTCGGTTTGAGCTAACGAATATTCAGCCTAAATAAACATCGTTATGTTAACCGGCCGTAAATATTCAAACCCCAGTAACTTTTAACTAGCGTAGTGGAAGAAATCTGGTTTGAAGATTCGGTAAACGCCATATTTCTCTGCAGCTTGAGTAGCAAAAATTATAGCCGTGATTTTAACCATGTCTGGAGTAATTTCATAACCAAACGCTTTACAATCATCACATCAAAATTATCAGCCATTAAGATAAACGCAAGATGTGCAAACATAATTTACGATCCTCACCGTTATTATTCATCATTTCGCCGGCAGTTGGACACGTACTCAGCGATCCTGCTGAAGATCAACGCAACTGAGCGGGTGATCGACTTCCTCAAGATGGACGTCGAGGGCGCCGAGATTCAGTTCTTCGAGGACGTCTTGGCCCACAACGTCAGCCTCCTGGCCAACGTCAAGCAGATAGGCATGGAAATACATCCAAGTGAGTGATACTGATACACGTGGCATGGAAATACATCCAAGTGAGTGATACTGATACACGTGGCATGGAAATACATCCAAGTGAGTGATACTGATACACGTGGCATGAAAATGCGTGACTCGAAGTGTTGAATTACATCCAAGGGGTAATAGTGATTCCTGCAGCATGGAAATAAATCCTGTTAAAAAAAGCTAAAGCATTTATGTCAATTCCAGCGAGCAGAATTGTTGCCCAAGACTTTGCAAGGCATCCTAATGTCGATATGATATTTCATTGACTATTTATACTGCGCAATGAAGAATGATACTTATTGCATAGTAGCACATAGCTATAAGAGTGATCATTAATATGTATGTACTTTATGACTCGTTATTTGATATCTATGCCGCCGTCCCGTATATAACCCCATTGTTTCACATATTACATGGTAATGTTATCTCATTCTAGGAACTCTAAAAGATACGGTCTATGTGTAATAGCACGTAATATGAGGTCATTGTAGATAATTATAGATTATAGGTAATATTTCCTGGTAGGTAATATTATGTAATAGGAAGTAATTGTAAGTAAAAGTTAACCGCTAACCTTTTAGTATGTAATAGTATGCCTTAAAAACCGCAATTTGAACTATAATTGTACTTCAATACTTCTTCTTTGAGTAGTTTCAGAAGTTTTCCATTTATTTCAGATCACCCGATCACTGTTATACACCCTATATGCAAAAAATCTTTGAATACTGTACCCCTTTTCGTCTGTGTTCAACAGATGTGGACACCAACAGAAGAGACCAGCTGTGGAAATACATGCACCATCTGGCGGCGCTGAACTTCCAGCTGGTCTCCATGGAACCGAACCACTGGTCGCTCATCACGAGCGAGGGGGGCAGGCAGGCTTCTAACTCATACGAACTTGTTTGGGTTAATGAGAAATTTAAACAATGATAAATGTTTAATTGTTGAACTATTTCGAATATCCTACGACTATTTCTGAAATCAGCAAATGCAAGTTTTCCAAATATTAGTTTTACTTTTAAAACACGTTAATTTCATCCCCGCATAATTTTTTGCTTGCGATCAAAATCCATTAAATTTTGTGAAATGTTTGAATCGTGTTACGAACCAGCAGAGAAAAATGTATTTTTTTTTTCTATCGATATAACCAGAGTAAGAGTGCGTTATAACACGGTATCTAACATCTTCATTTTTTAGTGGATTCATGCAAATTGAAATTGAACTATTTAACTTCGGAGCCGTATCCCAGAGCTCGTCCCCGAAAGGTTTATTGGATAATATGGAATATTCCTTGTACTTTTTACGGTGATAAAATTTTATATCAATTCCGTTCTTCCTATAGACGCTATGAGTTTCCTATAGTCGCTATAAGTCTATTCTGAATATTCCATAATTCTGATACGAATATCTGCTCATGCAAGTTATTTTTGCATAATATACTTCTATTTCATTTGTTTCCATCCAAACCAGTTCCGAGATTTTTCCCGCTTCGTGTTGCGCTAATTGATACTCTGCAGCATGAGAATCAAAGACACTATTCGCCGTCTGAGGCTATCGCACTGCAAATTTTCGTGTATTTAGCTATAAACTTCAGGAGAAAACTTTATTCAGTAGTCTATTGTTCTATGTAAACAAACTCATTACTGCCAATAATACGGCTAAGTTCTATTCTTTCTTGGGTACCGATCTTCTAACTCATTAAACTATATGTTATGATATGTCATGTTGGTACCTTCATTCTCATACTTTTTGAAATTCTAAACCCAAGCATTAATATAAAGGAATAATCTACCTCTGATAGGTTCAGGAGGCCTCCTGTCTGGATGTAGTGACGTTTGGTATCAAAGATTGGATGACACGTTCCCATTCGCCAGCTCCCTCATGCAAGGCCGTTTTTTACAGCCATTGGTTACTAAATCTCGATCAAAGTCATCTCGGCTTCTAAATTATTTCTCAGCCGTTTGCTCTCGAAGTCAAACCAAAGCCCTTTCTTTGCAATATTCATTTCGATAATAAAATTTTCATTTCAAGTGTCAGCAAGAATTTTTCAAAGCGTGTCTCCAACACTTCCTGTCAATCTTGATCTTCCTCCGCTCCCATTGGGGCCAGAGATCCTCATTCATGGCCCTCACAGCTCACAGAAGGCGTTTCGTTTGTGCAGTTGTTTTGTTTCCTATACGTATCACATCGGCCGGAATTTCAAAGCATAACCTCGGCATTTTCATCATGCAAAGAGCTCATTTGATCTCACAAGCGTTTCAATGCGCCTTCCGTTACTGAAAACCCAAAAATTTCTTCTATAGGCTGCCCATCAGGGGTTTGTTGCATTAGTTAACTACAGAAAAATGAGCCCGCCCAATAGCTTTCTTCACAAATGCATTCCAGTCAATGCGGTTAACTGAAACATAGCAATAAAGCCATCCCACAGGTTTTTCGTTTTTTCTTCTAGAAAGCCACGCACATTGCGTCCCCCGCACTGTTGAGTTTAAACTATTTAAAATACAGTAGTTCTTAAACTACGAGCACCTTGGTTTGGAGTTGTTTCTAGTTCTTTAACTCACCTTGGTTTGGAGTTGTTTTAACCAGAATAAAGCTCTGGCCTGCATTAAAACCATAAGTGAAATGCATGGTGTCTGTTAGTTCCTCCACAATACCTTTTCCACCTAAGTTCCTACACTCAGTAAATGTAATCGTTTCTGGTAACAAATTTTTATTACCGTGATGAGTTGGGAATAGTTTTTATACTAATTAACGGTACAGTGCGATATTGCCTATTGGGTATAGTTCTGAAAGTCCGTATTTCTAAGTTCGGCCTCTCAGATATGCTTTATTGGTGCTCTTACTGAGCACTAATTGTGCTCTTATACTTCATTATGGTGCTAATACTGAGCCTGGAGTAGCAACGTGGATTATGATTAAAACGTATTCATTCAAATGCCCCTTCTTTGCCTCCATTCACATGGGTAGGAAAATGAAGACGCTATTCCATTATTTTTTCTCCGCGTTCGCCGATCGCCTGGGGGAAGCTAACCTGACAGTAAATGTCTTCCAAAACGCTCGAAAAAAATTACTAGTTTCAATTTCCGGATCTGGTGAGATCTGCAATGCAAACCGTTTTGAAGTCATCTCTCAACCGTTCTGCCTACGGGCCGCTCAAAAATGTATTCGATAACACTAATAAGTTTATAAGTGCTTAAAATTATGGAGAATAAAAAACTTGTCCACTGCGAATTCATAGACTTAGAAAGCATTGAAATGTTCCTACATCACCAATCGCACAAGGGTACGTTGTAAGGTATAACTGCAGTGATTTAATAAAAGCTCTTTACAAGGCAATACATCGAGTGAGACGACATCGAGCGAGACAAGTATACGTAGGTAGCGAGCCATCGCTCGGAATTTTACTGGAAACATATGGCGTAGTATTTGATTGATGGGTTGCAAGATTTCTACAATGTAACAGACGATTGATTCGGCACTTGGTAATCTTGGTACTTGTTTGGGACGTAGCAGTCTCAGGCCACGATGGAGGTTAGTGATGACGGAAGTTAGGTATGATGAATAATAAAGTGAATAATGAGCAATTCAACAGCACAAGTACGAATAATGAGGTACAGAGTTGGCACAGAGGTCGGGACTCGCACCGCTACTTTACATCGGACGGCACAGAAATCGAGAAGCAAATCGTTAGAGGTGCAATTCGTTGTTAATGAGTACTGAAGCAACGTTTGATGATCCCATCGCTGCAATAGTTGCAAAAGGCTAACAACAGATGTGTTGATCTGGTGTACATTTCGAACGAGAGAAGCGGAGCCAATGATTACACTCCTTAGAGCTCTCGTGCTCCACATTCATGAGTGCTGCTGCAAGCTCTCGGCGCCACCAGAAGAGGACGTGGCCAAGCTATTGAAGGCAGTCCAACGGACCTCTATGTCCAGGATCAGTAGGGGGAGACCTGGACTACTGGGACCGATTGAAACACCTGGAACTATATTGAATGGAGAGGAGAAGAAATAGGTATATCACACTGCATACTTGGAAGAAGATAATCGAACTGGCGCCAAACTTCGAAATTGAGACCTTCAGAAGAGCGACATATCACAATGAAAGGAGGAGACTGAACAGGATACATACATTTAATAACCGATCTGTAGCCAGAGTTCAGACTCTTCGAGAGCGGTCTCTTTTCGTAAACGGTTCGAGTCTGTTCGACGTCTAGCTAGAGCAGCTTTGACGAAGGGAGTTCATACATACAACATTCAATAGACGACTGGATGCGTTTTTGAGCAAAATCTTGGATTATCCGGTTGTGGCCCACTATTATCAGAAACTGGGAAGCAACGGCATCCTGCATCGGCTGGCACAAAGGAGAGCAGATGCACGGAACTCGTTCAACGTTGGCGACGGAGGCAGGCGAAAGCGGCACTTCAGCGTAACCGTGGATGACAGTATCCTAAACTTTTCACAGGGTCATAAGGTCACGAATGTGATGATGATGCAGATTACGATACCTGTTATGCGTAAGAAGGTCCTACAATGCTCTCGATCATTATTTACTACATTGCAGTCTTCGGATTCGTAGAATAAACACAGCAACTTATGACATATTTTGAAAAGTGAATATAGCAAATTTGCAATTTAATTGATTATTCTTGCCAGTTGTTGGTACTCGCTTTGCAAACCTTGTAACTGAGACACCTGTCTGAGCAGCATTTCTTGGTGCCCCTACAATTGGTGTCATAATAACACTGCTTTGGGGTGTAGTCGTCTGGACATGCCCAAGGGCGGGTTTGAGGTTTGATTTCTGGGCAGAACCCAGACTTTTCCCTGACGTCGCAGCAGTAGTAGTAGGGTCGGCCTTCATGGTTGATGTGGCACCAGTGAGGGCAGTTCTCAAGTTGTCCTACAGGAGGAGGTCGGCTCTGGATGCGAGGGAACAGAAAAAAACCCATCGCTGCTGAGACCATGAGGAACCAGATGCAACATTTTACCTGTAAAAAATACTTGAATATAAAATTTGGTTTCAAACCTTGATAATTTATTAAGGTGCGTGCTATAGAAGCCGAGGGCTTTGAATACATTTCTTAAGCAATTTTGACAAATATTGTGTTATAAGATCATTCCCTTAAAATTTAATACAGAGTTAACTTCAGCTGTTTGGTACTGCGATCCAATTGTAACGAGATGTGCTAACATTGTTCCAAATTTAACGTTCTTAGTCTTGAAGCAGCTCAAGATCTCATGATGTCGACTGTATTAAATTTCAAAGTATATTAATGTGTGAACAAACTTTTATTCATCAAATCAAAACATATTGATACCTCCTGATCATGTTGCAATACTACAATTATTTTATTTTAATGCTTGGGCCAAGGTTACCTCTAATTAAAGAAACTTTGTCCCATATTTTTAAACCATATTTTAAATCATATGAGTATGGTAAATATAGTTTCGATTGAAGCTCGACACGATAAAATTACTAACAGTGGATATATTATGTCAAAAGCGTGCATAAAATAGAAATAAATGTAAATAAAGGAAGCAATCGTCATTTTAGTGAAAAATCCAGTTTTCTATAATGTAGAAAAAATCATCTTACATCACATTTGGTTCTTTAGATCTGGAACATGAAATTGTTTCTTCTCTGAAGCTATTTTTGCAGGATTTATCTTCTGATGAACATACGACCAGACGTAATTCAGGTAATCTTGTTTATGGCCAGTGCCACAAATCAAATCTTTTTTCCATGCATTTTACCATAAGTTCTTCTTCACATCACATAAGCTGACAATTTTGCCCGGGTATATCTGACAATTATGTTAAGGCGCCAAAAATTTATCATCAGCAAAGTCTTCAGGTTTTTAACTCAACTTGCAAGTTTTCGTCGTTAGACATGTGAATAGGCAAATTCCAGCTTTTATTTATAATATTTCACTGAGACCAGGAAAAGTTTCGTTTTGCCCATCACACTCTAATATCAACAAAACATCATCTTCATTTAAAGAAAAGCTGCACTTTTTTTCTTCCTCGAACTTTGTTGATATTATTCTGCTTTGTTTAAATGTTCGGGTAAAGTTACCCCAATTTTAGGCGATAGTTGTCACGAAATTATAAAAGAGCATTATTTTATTAATAACATATAAGCTTATCATACAAAATTACTCTTAACAATAGAACATATAATATTATCATATACCAACTTCTAATATTTATTTTATAAATTAGTGTTTCTAAATAAAAGTTTGCTGTACACAAATTTCATGACTTTCTCACTCTGAAGATGTAGACGCACTGGAGTGTTGAAGAAATATGGAGCTAAACCCAAACAACAACAATTTAACCAATTTAACCAACCACTGATGCATGAACAAGGTCAATAATTCATAACATGATCACACTACAGCACAATGAAACTTTTTCTAACTGTTGGCCAATGTTATTCCATCTTACGATAGGTGAATTGCGGGTTTTACTGCAAGCAAAAATCTTATTGCGTTTCAAAGGTCTAGCAAGAGATTGTGGCACACATTAGGCTATTGCCAGATTTAGTGTCATGATGTACCGTTTTTGAACATGAATGTTCCTATAATATTGATAGTATCCAAGGAAATTTAAGTAGTAAGGTTAAGTTTTAATGATTTAAGTAAGGTTTTCCTGCTAATCTGCTTTAAATAGAATGAAGCCACATATAATAGAGTTCTAAACATAAGTATTGATAAATTGCTTTCAAAATTCTGTTGCAGCCAACAAATATTGCACTTGATGAAACGTGTATGAAAGCTTCATTAAGAACACAAATGATTTATGTCGGATAATATCAGTTTCATGACCTCGAAAGCGTCAGTTGGTTTCAGAAATTTTATAGAATTGGATGTTAAAAAGCGTCGGCAGAAGAACGGCACTCCGAATCTTGTTTGCTTCTTTCATAAAAACTAATTTAATAACAACTTGGTGCGAGCTTACGAATCAAATTAAAGAAGCTTAAGTGCATAGTTAAATTGTCTCTCAAGTTTAACCACCCAATCCCATTGCAAGTCACTAAAGTGATAGCTTGACATTTTTACGATGTTCAATCGACAATACCTGGTAACAATTTTTTTTACTATAAATATATATTTACCGCGGACGTCTTATTAAATCATGATATCTCACATATCAACGTAGTTTTGATTGCATTGTTCGTGAGTGTCAAAACGCAATTGATAGCGTCAAACATTTCACCCATTGTACGTAAAAAATAATCGTTATACTTACGAGAACTCGGATCATTGTAGTCTGTGGCAGCGAGTCTTGTTGGTTGTTCGAGTTAAGGAAGATGCCCACGATTTGATGGTCGATGTGTCGATAAGAGGCTTTTTATAGGTAGCTCATTTCATTATTCGAGTTTCAACATTGATTGTTACATTTGACCTCTATTGGGCAATAATCTCACGGACACAATTTACATGTTGCAACGAAGGAGGATAGAACCAGCCACGGCTGAATAATTATCACTGGAATTACCGCACTCAGGATTTCGTACGTACAAAAGGACAAGAGCCGTAAATATGAAATTTCAAGATGAAAATCTCCAGTATGCAAATTCTGATTCAATTTAAATGAGTATTGCGGTAAAAAACAATGTAGCACCCATAGATTGTGTCTGAAAGATTATGCCCAATCTGTTTCCCCAAAACTCCCCGCGTGTTTGATGTATGTGCTTCTAAACTCTTAAAATGTCCCCTACGAAATCATTTTTCTGCTTCCATGTCTCAAAAGAACTATTTTTACACAGGTTGCTCTAGAATTTTTAGCAATGAGAAGACATCTTCAGCTAGTAACAATTTCTGAATAATTTGAGACTCAAGGCTGAAGCTGCCAACCGATGTAATGGCCCGAACTCAGCTGGCACTCGATATCACGATCATTTTTAAGCTATTCTGTGTATGCAGACGATCATTTCTGTGCTAGTGACCAGAATTTTGTGCCTTGCCTGAGAACGTATTTTTTTCAGCTCACCTCTCTTTTGTAGTTATCCTTATTGTGTTGCGAATCTGAGCATATCTTGACAACGTGTTGGAGAGGAAATTAGCCAGGTATGCCGATGACAGTTCAAGGTGTCAAAGGTGTTTGGATATGGGGACAATACTTTCGGCTAGCATTGTATAACTTTGAAGTACTGACCGTCACTATTCACCGTGCTTGCAGCTTCGTGAATAGGCGCTGCGCGACACGAATGAACACGATAACCTTTTATACGAGGCCAGAAGCATTATAATTAGTAGCAGTTAGCATTTGGGAGGTGTGCTGGATGCCTCTACTGTTCTTGTGTACACTGACCAGCACGTGCCCTTGATATTCAACGTGCCTCAAAAATTTATCACCTGGCGGTTGGATGGAAGAAATACAATTTGTCTATAGACAATTTTTTTGGTGAATGTTTTAAAATCGATGATTTAGAACCTAAATTAATTCCATGTCCATATGGCCAAAATTTTTGAAAATGTATAGATATTTACTTCCGTAAATGATAAATTCCTTAAATCGATGGCTTTCAGGCCACTCGTATCACAAATTTTGAATCCAATTTTCTAATAAATACTGTAAAAATTGAAGCTCGTTTTCTGGACAAATTTCAGCTTTAATGTTTGAAACAAACCGATGTTTATTGTAAATTGAAACTGTTAAGATTTTGAATGTATAATATTGCGTTAGACTTCTATGGCAATTGTTGCGGGGCCCCATCAATCCTAAACAAAACCAGTTCATTAAATAAGCATTCATTAAACATTTCAGGCATGAACGGTAAATTACGTCCATTGTATAAGTAATCACTGTCTTCATTGTGTTGTGTTTTATTTCGTATGGAGACAAAGACTTCGGGCTTAACAGAAACAAAAGACTTCCGGCTTCCTTTGACGCGAGAATCATTAGTTCTAATGCAATCTCATTCATCAGTACAATTTCAATCCTTGTTGTCTGTCTCAGGAAGGTCTAATACTATTTATTTAAGAAAAGAAAAAACAATATTCATGCTCATTCAAATTCTCCGTTAGTATGAATTAGCCTGTAGCACCAATGTCTCGTATCGTACAGTGAGGCGGCTATATAAAAATTTAAATTGACTTTGATTAGGTTATGAAAAATTTTAAAACGATTTTAGGACTCAATTGGCTTCATCGATAAAATTTTATTACGGATCGCCAATTGCTTTAATTTATAGTCAGGTTGCGGCCGTAGCGTCTTCGGCTTTACTAGGAGTATTTGCATACATAAGTTCTCGCATGAAATAGGCTACAGCAAAATCATACAGAGAGAGAGAGTTTCAATGAAACACTGGTACATTTAATATCGAATTGGGGAATTCCAGTTCACATATCCTACGTTAACAAAATCTTTAGTACAGGAAAAGAATACCGAACACATTCAATTTTGAAAAAACTATTTGTTTACCTCGCTAAAATCTCCTACTTTTACCGCTGACCAGTGGCAGTTCCGTTTAATAGTTACGACTGTCGTCAACGACCGTACTTTATGCGCGTGTTTGCGGCCTTATTTCCAACGGCCGTACCGAAGCCGTAGCCGCGCATCCCCGCTCCAATCGGCCGTTCTTTCTCCATAGCCGTCGTGTCTCGCTGATGTTTCACGGTCAGTCTGACTGTATAGGTTGATTTATAACGAACGTACTTCTGACTAGTGGCGTTGTCTTCGTCGTCGATGATGTTACTCCAAGCTCATTGCCGTGCTTCTGCTGTTGGTGATCGTGACCGTACCGCTGCTGTTGACAACTGTGACTGCATCTTGTTGATGACAGTACCGATGATAATTGTTGCTCAGTGCTCGAAAACTATAATCTTCTGATTGCCGGCGTAATAATATTTGGACGTCTCTTGACCTCTCGCTCTGTCTCACGGCTAAGTCACAACTGTAGCAATGAATTTTGACCGTACAAATAGGCGAAGTTACGGCCGTTACTCGTAGATTTACTCGTAGTCGTAGTGGATACGAGGACATAATTCGAGGACATAATTCATAGAACTTCGAAACTATGAATGTTTCGAAGTTCCCCGCGGTCGTTATTTCTGACCACGCTGGCCGATACGTCTGCGGAGATAGCTGCAGACCGTACTGGCGTAACGGTTACCACAGTAGAAGCAAGCTTTTGGCGCGAATTTTAGGGTCCTTATATATAGACAGACGTCACGCACAGTAAAGCCTGCCCCTGGAAGCGACGCTGAATTTCTCGATTCATGAATTTTCCCTCACGATAGGCTCGCCAACGTTCAATGTAAACAACACCCGGTCCAACGGCCATGAAACAACCGCGTCTTTCACACTTTTTATCGCTTCAACGCACATTCACATTCTTCTCAACACCTGCACACAAGCTATGCTTATTATTACATCATAAGTTACAGTCACAATAACCTACGCTTTGTTCAACTTTAATAAAGAAAAAAACCGTGATTCTGAAGATATATTTCTATGCCTCTCGGCTGATTTCCTCACCCTGATTTTCGTCCCTATAAATGATATTATCAAATAATATCCGTGATATCCGTGAAATAATATTTTTTCGCAATGATATAAGCAGACCAGCACATATAGTGAGTTGGTCTTCCGCTGCAATCTAATCAGTTCAGCACATATAGTGAGTTTGTCTTCCGCTGTGATCAAGACAGTCCAGCACATATGGTGTGTTGGTCTTCCGCTGTGATCAAGACAGTCCAGCACATATGGTGTGTTGGTCTTCCGCTGTGATCAAGACAGTCCAGCACATGTAGTGAGTTGGTCTTCCGCTGTGATCAAGACAGTCCAGCACATGTAGTGTGTTGGTCTTCCGCTGTGATCAAGACAGTCCAGTACATGTAGTGTGTTGGTCTTCCGCTGTGATCAAGACAGTACAGCACATGGTGTTTTGGTCTTCCGCTGTGATCAAGACAGCTCAGCATATGTAGTGTTTTGGTATTCGACTGTGTGTGAACCGTGAACTGTGCACATGAACTGTGTTGGTATTCTGCTGTAATCTAGGCAGTTGAGGGCTGGCATGTATAGGTGTTCTGTTGTGATCTAGTCAGTTGAGAATTACTAGCAGTATTTGAAAATGAAAATAAAATGAATAATTGAACACTCATTCATGTACGCGCGTCTGATAAAGCTAACATATAACAATTGCTTTCGCTTGACCGAGGGAAACGCTATCCCAGCAGGCATTCGGTGGTTGAATCAACGTTGAATCAACTACCTATTACGATTTTGAGATCGGGGTGAAAGGAGGTTTAAAATGAAAATTGAAGCAACATCTTTCTTGAAACGTCGTACTGACGTTACAATGCAACGTTGAATCNTGATGATAAAATAATATAAGTGGGATAGTGAACTTGAGCCGCAGCATTTTTTATTGAATGCCGTAGCTCTAAAACGATAAATGTAGGATGGTCCTTTGTTACACAATTTCAACACGTTGACTCCGATTGCTTCATCATGTTCTTTTATTTAATTTTTGTACTTTATTATGAATTATTATGTACCGATACTTCCTTGAGAAATACGCCTCGTGCTACGCATATGTACCACTTCGGAACTAACGTGTTGATGCAAATTGGGAGAAATTATATTCGACATCACTATAATAAAGAAAATAAGGAAGTGGATGGTCCTTCCAAAGTTTTCTCAATTTTAAATGTGACTACAGTAACCGCTGTAGCGCAACCTAAATTGGTTACTGGCCATCAATGACAGTTTTCACGTTTACACTGAATCTAAAGGTAATTCAGAATATGGTGCCAGTATGGGGAATAGGATTGAGTCAATTTTGGATCAATTTTTTAACGTTGCTTTTGATCGCCTTGCTCCATGCTGGGCTACAGTATGACTCACAGCTGGCCAACAGGTTGAAATTTATAAGAACAGGTCTTCCAAATAAATGAACAAATTTCTTTACGAGTGAAGGGTTACAGTATAAAATAATCTATTAATTAAATCATCTTTGGTTCATGACATGTCTATACGACATGTCAATACGGTAGAATGGCACGCGACGGCTGAGTGACCAGAAACCTAATCCCTACGAACTCATTATGTTAGGCGTAAAAGAAAAGACAAAAAGATGGACAATTTTGATTATGAAGCTATTTACTTTTTACACTGATAATGAATTTTTTCTAATGGAACTCTCGCTTTATATTTTGGTTCATTCATTAATACGTGTATTCATTTCGTGGAAGGTAATAAGATGGTGTTGAACAATGCGTGTGATGTTATTCACCGCATACAATGACATCACGATAGTGAACAGCTCCACAGTTAGTTGCTATATAGTCTCTATCGTCCATC